GACGAAAACGTCAGTGGGTGGACGCCGGAGCATCGGCCGAAAGAGAACCCCGTCAGGAGTTGCACCCCAAAAAGATTATGCTCTCGGTCTTCTGGGATTCGAAAGGCATCATCATGTTTGAGCTGTTGCCGCAAAACACCACCATCACTGCTGCCTACTACTGCCAGCAACTCGATCGGCTGCAGCAGAAACTGGCTGAAACACGCCCAGAAAGACAGAGAACCATCCTCCTCCACGACCATGCCCGGCTGCACACCACTAGACAGACTCATCTAAAGTTACTGGACCTGTGCTGGGAGGTGCTGCCGCATCAGCCCTACAGCCCCGACCTTGCCCCGTCCGATTATCACCTTTTCGTTGCCCTGGACCGTCACATGGGTGGAAAGCAGTACGCCAACCAAGACGACCTGAAAACCAATTTGGCCAACTTTTTCGTAGCGCAGCCGCCAGAGTTCTATTGGAATGGCATCCATAGTTTGCATAAACGTTGGCGTGAAGTGATGGAGGCCAATGGTGATTACATTCATGATTGAGATGATTTTGCTTTTAAATAAACTGGGTTGTAATAATTGTTCATGAAATTCAGAGAACTTTCTTTCCAATCAGATAAATCAGCCAACACTGAGTTAGCTCAATCTTGTTTCTCGGTACCTCTGTCCGGGGTAATTGAGGGTCCTGTGCATGGTTTGATGACATTCTTCCAATTTCACTAACTGCAAATTATGGAGAAATTGAAAAAAAAAAGGCATGACAAAATTGGCTAGAAGCTTTTAGAGGCTGGTAGTGTGTGTTAATTTTTTATTTTTCTTTTCAGGAAGACCAAACACCTACCCATCTGATAAGGCTGGAAATGAGAAAGTCCCACTACATCCTGATCACAAACTTTCCTGTCTTCTTGCATGAGGGTCACTCCAAGAGTAATGCCCGTTAATTTTTTATCTTATGAAGTGTTTGTGCTGTATTGATGAAATTTCTCAGGGTTAACATTTCTCCCTTCAGTTTCAATGAAACTACAGCCTTTATGGCTGTAGTTTCATAAAAATCCACTTAGGGATTCATGCCGGGCACACATTCAAAACGAAAGCTGGGCTGAAATTGCATCAGAAGCCATGCAGCAATTAAATTTCTGAATATGGAGGTTGTATGATCAGCAAATTTTCACCAACTACTTGAGCTGGTCTATGGAAAGTCTTGTGAGGACTAGAGCACAGTCAGGTGATGGGTGAGTTGCTTTTAAGTAGGGAGAAACTGAGGTCAAGGAAAAGCAGCCTTCTGGCCGACCTGTGATTTCAAGCACAGATGAGAACATCACCAAGGTTGATGAACTCTTTGAAGAAGACAAGTGCATCACAACCAGGGAGATGAGATGGTTGGCATTGGTCAAAATACCCTTCAGTAAATCAACACCCTCAGATACTCTAATGTTGACAATCAAGTCAATGAGGCTGTCAAAAAATGGCTTTGAAATGTCAGCAGGGAATTTGTGAAAAACAATTGAAAGGGTCTTGATTGCCATGGGAACTACAGTCGATGCTCCGTATAAAGAACTCAAAGGGATGGGCTAAAAAAAATTTGCTATAAGGAAAATTCATTATAGGGAATTTCTCTCATTTCCCTGAAAAAAAAAGAAGAGAAATCTGTTAAACTTATGTCAATATCACTTCAAAATATCACTTAGTGTTGAAAAGCAAGTTGTTGTCCATTCACAAAATGAGTGCAAAGGTTTAAGTGCATGAAATATGACAGATATTCAGCTCTGAGGTTATATATGTACCTAAATGGGTACCTAAATTACATGTAATAAAAATTAGATGAGTCAGCAACACTCTCTATTCAAAGGAAACAAAGTCCCAACTGATCATCAGCCGCACGCTTTCCTGGAGGATTCTTTGAGCTACAGTCTGCAGAGCACTTGATGTTTAAATGTTTCATGCTCAACATTTGGCACGGCTGAAAAATAGCCAGAGATAGCTGAAGGCTTCGATTGCTTGACCGAGCACAAATCTAGACAAGGCCTGATCCTGAGAAGATTAAGACTGATTGACATCATTCCCTTACCACAGCCCCACCAACAAGTATGTAGGACATACTAAATATAGATACCAGATGAGATTTTCGAGGAATGCATGGAAGGAAGTAGCTCTGACATGCAGCAGATTTTAACTTCATAAGTCGATCAGTTTTGTTCCTTTGGATGAAAAAACAACTTCATAAAACAGAACAATTCATTATATGGAACTTTGTTATACAGAAACTTTTCAACATGCATATGAATGGAATAATAGCCAGGAACTGTAAAAAAAAAATTTGTTGTAAATAAAATTCCTTATATAGAGGTTCATTATATGGAGCGTCGACTGTATGTAAAAAAAAAAAAATGTTCAGACCTTCAGGAAACACTAGAACGCACATTAAAAGTTTGGAATTATTCCATTAAAAAAATAAACCAGAAAAAATATAAACATGCATTACTTTTGGAGTACCCCTCGTAATAAAAACGGAGTGCAAAAAAATATTGCTGTCAGATTTTGGCTAATTTCTACTGCTGTAAGTGATTAATTTTGAATAAATTTTATTTTCACAGACTCCCCATACAAACTCTATAAGAAATACAAGTCAATAATTGATTCAATCTCCCTCCAAATCAATGTGAGCCAAACATTTATCTCTCATTGATGCAATCAAATGACATGGTTGACATGTCAATTCATTGCCATTCTTCATGCAAGAATCTGTCCAATTCATCAAGATATTTTGCCCTTTGTTTCTCCATGCCATGCTTAAGGATGGACCACAAGTTTTCAGTTGGATTCACATCCAGACTGTTTGGTGGCCATTCAATTGTTTTGGGTAAATGCTGTTTTGCTGGGTAAATGTTTGTGTGCCTTGGATCATTGTCTTGCTGGAATCGCCACAGTTGTCCAATCTGTCTTCTTGCACCAGAAAGTAGATGTTCTTGAATTTGAGCAAAGTAGGGGCCATCCATGATCCTTCTAAATGAATGGCACAATACCTGACCATTATTGCTGAAGGCTCCCCACACCTCTTCAATTCATTAAAGATCAATCTGAAGAGTTACTTGGGACAAAAAGTATTTGTGAGTCATGCTATATTTGCTCAATTCCATGAGTCTAACACTTTGTCATACAACATACTAACATCTGTTAGTAAGTTGTAGCCCATTTTTCAGGTGCGGTTGTACAACGGCCAGCCAGCAGGTATATGCTGAATACACTTTTATATGTTCTGTATTTTTGTGGCAACAGCCTGCAGCTTTCTCACTCAAACTGTGGCCTCCTAACTCCATCTTTAAAAAAAATTCTGACATCCTCTGCACATTTAGAGGACTCATATTATAGTTACAATAGCAGAGCTTATGAACATCATTTCAATGAAGAGATGAATGAAATTGGACAGGTAGGTCATTTGGTCTCAGGGAGACGACAATTCACCTAACTAAATGTTGGGCTTGGCAGTCAAAATGTTACTGACTTAAATTGCACTTCAGAACTATCACAGTGAGATCCTGGTCAATTAGTATAAATCTTTAGTATAAATGGGGATTAATGCATAGAACCCCCTCCCAAGAATTGCTAAACCTCTTGTCAGGCCTTTCAGCAGGTGAAAATTTCAAACCATCATGATAAACTTGGAGCAGAATGTCATTATTCCACTGAGGTAATAATTATTATAACCTACTCAGACCCAAGAAAAATGAAAAGTATCTGATTTGGCATGCATATTTATCACTCAGGTGTGAAGAGATGAAAGCCCCTGCAGAAAGTATAGGAATGGTGTTCTTTCCTCTTTAAAATAATGTGGGAACAATGTTCTCAATCTTTCCCACTTACTACTTCTCTGAGTAAGCAGCATCCAAATTATTTTATAAATTTAAATAAAGAGATTAGTTCAGACAACCATTAAATATATATCAGATGTTCATAGACCATTTAATGAAACTCCTAAGTAAAGTGAGACTAGACTTCAGGCAACTTGAAAATGCACCAGAACTGGGAAAAAATGGCTAGGCTGGGACATAATGTCCACTGATATCAGTAACAAAAGGAAACATACTGCGTGTCGCCGCTCAATTTCCTTGGATCGTAATTCATCTATGTGGCGACGGCGTTCTTCAGCCTGTTGTTCTCGGAACTTCTCAGCAGCTTCAGCATGAAGCCTTAACTCTTCCAACTTTTTCCTCCGTTCCTCATCTTGCTTCTCACGTAACTGCCTCACCTTCTCCTCCCTTTCTCGCAGCTGTCTTGCTCGCTCCTCCTTTTCCCGATCACCTGGATAAGGAATATAAAATTTCACTTTTTTACCTGTTCCTAGCTTAAACTATTCTTGCCTTCACCTGAGACAGACCTAAGAGATGATTTGCCTAGATCTAAGATCTACAAACATGTAATAAGGTCTACAAATCATAATATTACTGATTGAGTCCAGTCAAACAGATATAATTTTCAGGTGCTCTATTTCCAACCTGTGAGACTGAGCTCAAGAAGAAACAGGTCTACACAGCACTACAGATACACTAACCCATCATTTCTCTGTCAAGAAAACACTCTAGAAAAACTTTTTTTTCTTCTCCATTCGATGTTGAACATTTTTTCCCCTAATGGAGCAATGTCTTTCTTCTCCTACTATTATATAAAGCTCAGGGAAAGATGAAAACACCATATGTCCCTCCTTTCTGGTGGCATGCATTAGACAGCACATGAGCAAACCTTTTAAAACCACAACTAAGCAAATGTGTCCTGCAAGTTATTTTTCAGCTAGCCCCATGCATAAACCAGCCGTTCTTCACCTATGCATGCATCTTTCCTAAGTCTCTTGAATCACTATCCAAGGTTGAACCATGCTCTGTCAAGATAGCTGGCATAATGACAAGGTTTACAGTCTTCAAATCATATGATTCTTTTGCACCAGAGTCTCAAAGCAGTTAAAAGAGAGCAACCAATTGGTTAGTGATCATTATGGAATTTGAAGCTGTGCAAAGCATCCAGAAAAGGGAAAATGAGAAGGGGAACCTTCGTCTGGGTTATCTTCTTCCGCACAGGGTCCCTGTGCGAACCAGTAAAGATCCCCTGCAGGTCCTAGAAGGAATTTAGTAGGTTTTCATGACCATACATTTGAAAGTTCTCCCTTGAAAATTGTGAGAACAAAACAATGAACTATAATTGTTTTCCACACTGTGAATGAAGGAACAATTAGAATTGTTCCATTAGTGCAGAGAGGCCACATCAAGTCAATGCCCTTGCAATTAATTATCACCCATCATTAGCTTAGCATAGTTGGAGCCAAGTGTAGGTTTATTTTGCACAAGGAATTCCAGTCTGTCAATTTTGAAGACACTATTGGCATTGACAAGAGATTGATAGTCATATAATCTTCCCCATCACTTTACCAAATTACCAAACTAAAAATTATCCCTGTAGGTACACCATTGCAAGCCCATAAAGATGCCTAAAGATTTTAATCAGGTTGAAGCCAGATGCAACATAGGAGGTACAGGTTAGCACCAGCACTGTTGGTAGGAATGAAACATTTGACAAATAATGATCTTTCCTTAATAAACCAACAACAATTCATATGAAAGACTGCAGACTGAGAAGTGACTCTTGAGTCAGAGAAATAGTCAATAAAGGTGTTATTGACTGATTTGTAAGCAAGGTGACACTCACTTCCAGCACTGTGAGGCCTTTTGGGGCTATGGACCCTGGGAGGGGGAGAGTCACTGGGTGCATGAGGAGATGAGGGCGTACCTGTCGCCCCTTCCCCCATTGCTACATTCATCACTCCTTACAACACCCACTCCTGATCTCTATCAATTTCACCAAATTCTTGCAATGAACATGTATAGGTACCTAAGGAATAAAGATACAAACTTTATATTTCCATAAAATCTATCCAGTATTGGAAGAGTAGATCTCATTATTACACTCTGAGGTTGGAAACTAGAACTAGAGGTTGGATATCCCTTCTGCCAGCTCTGGAGAAAGATAAATTTATTTATTTTTTGTTCTCCAGGGCTAGATAAGAATACAGTAGCATGCCCAGGAAATCCGAATGGGGGGGGGGGGTTTGCCATATGAAACATTACCCACCCTAATGGGGGAGCTAACATATGAAAAACTGATAACCAATCCTGTATTTGAGGCCAAATTAAAAAAATTGCTAGAATCTTAACCTGTAAAATTGACACCAAGGGGGGGGAGGCTATGACACACAAACCCCACCCCACCACCCCCTTGGGCATGCCACTGTAAGAATAAGATATGCACATCTTATACACAAATATTACATAAACCATGGGATTGGAATCCAGTCTTCAGACAAAATTTCTGAATGAAACTAATCCCTTTCATGTTCTGACTGAATTCATGGCATCGACGTAATGGGCATCAAAATGAAAGCCACCACTGAATGGTATTTCCTTCATACAAGCTCATTTTCAATTAATTATTCATATTCGGAAAAATTTGTAACGACACGCGAGGCATTCACTTGCACGTGACTGCGATGTCAAATCCTTCATGAGTGCTTGCGAATAACGATGGTGAAGACGGTGGCAGGATGCAGAGGCTCATAAATAGCCTGAGGAAGCATCGAAGGTTTCTCCTTCCTGAGAAGAATTTCCATCAACCACAATAACTCCCGAAGGCAGGAAGCGAGCCATCAGCAGGACGGGTCTGTCTACTTTTCCAGTCTGATATGATGTAATGGAACCGGCTTTCACACGCAACACCGGACGACCAAGTTCCCGGGAGAAGAAAGCGTCATCCCCAGCCGCTCACCTCCGACTGGTCGGTCGCTGTGACAGGTCAAGCGTGAAAACCCCAACCGGAAGGGGAATGAGAAGCAGGGATGTCGTTCAGAGCAGGGATGCAAGGAAGAGGATGAAGAGGATCACGGCGATGAGCACGATGACGATGCATCCGATCCGCACCAGATCATCATTTATGTTCACCATACTCCGCGATATCGGTATTTTTTGTTCCAGTTCTAGGCTTCAGTTGTTGGATGCCAGCATCCACGGTGAATTGATGCATTCATTATTTGCATTGATGCAAATAAAATAAAATTGTAGGACTGCAGGGTTCTTGGGTCAAACCACCGCCCAGTACTGATTTTTGTTTTTTTTTTCTTCTTTCTCCCCCCCCTCCCCCTCTCTCTCTCTCTCTTTCAGACAGCGGTTTCCGGGTGCGGAAAACTTTTCTCCGCAAACGCAGCTGGGACTCCAAGAAGCCATCGCCCTTCCGTCCTCCCCCCATTTAAAACGGGAGGATAATCTACATTTACCTACAAGACACAGGGGGAGAAGAAAAAAAAAAACCCTGTTCACTGCCATCCATTTAAGGTGAATGGAATCTTCACGGTCTCGTGTAGTCACGCTTGACCCCACTAATCCTTTTCGCACCCGCGCCGCCCATCCTGAAAATCCAATGAGTCAAAGCAAGCTTTCCCCTCTTTCGTAGAAATGCTAGACAAGAGGTTCTATCCAACTAATCTGTACAGCTGTCCATCCATGACGATGAATAATGATCTCTTCCATCGTTATATTTGCCTCACCTCTGCAGAAGCAGGGGACGATTGACAGCTTTACTCACACTTGCCTCTGCATGTCTCATTTCTAAAAATGGAAACTCAGCAGCTCTAACTCAATGATCGACAACATTTTCCTGTTACCCCAGGAACAAGAAAGTACTCGTACTCCACTTAAAAAGTGAAATAACAAAATTTATTCAAGGAATGAGTGAAAGCGGAAGGGGAAAAACATACTGAAAGTCCTTCTTCATCAATTATCTAAAAGAAATCCAGCATAGAATTCTATTATTTGCACCAGCTATGTCAAGAGCATTTCCTGCTTTACAATGCTACAAAACAAAGTTAGTCCCTCCTCTTTCTATACATTCATCAGGGTAGTGGCATAGGAGATTTGTAATACATTAAGCTCTATTTCCCATCTATAAAAATGGTGTTTTTAAAACTGTGCATTTCATATAAATCAAGTAGGTGTGAATTTTCTGTAGCAGTCAAGGATGTACTTTTTAACAATTCCAAAGATTTAAGAAAATGATGTCACTCAGGTGTCCCCTCCCTCCATGTGAAACATTTTCGCAGCAAAAGTCTGGCATTTCTTAAGTATGCAAAGAAAATACCAGAATCTAGCAATGACTTAAAAGTTCTGTAGACAATATATTAGCCATGTGGCCAAGCAAAGCTAAGTATTAATTCTTCCATTATCATTCCCATTCTTGCCTCATTCAGATTTTTATCTCCAACTACAGGAGGACTATGTAGCAGGTCAGGATTCTACCAGGATTTCCAAATCGAAGTCAAGAACTGGAAAGCAAGAGGTATTCATTTCTGTGCAAGGCTGTCATTCTTACACATCATTGCATACATGTAAAATGCAGAGGGCCAACTAGACATTAAAAAAATAAGACATCTTCAAGGCTCAAAGGGTTAGGTATTGATTTTACAACAAAAACAACTGCCAAATTAGGGAGGAAAATGGTAACACCTATGATGGTATTCCCCAGGGATCCACCATATAACCCTTAATTTTTCTCATCATGGATGCTCTAACAGGGCAAACATAATTTTGACATTTTTTCAAGGCAGTTAAATTCCCTCTTCTGGGATTAAAGAAGGATAAATGTGAGATATTCATTATTACAGCATGGAGTAGTCTTAGTTTCCTAATGCAAAGGGAATACTTCTAAATAATCATTCAGCAATCTGAAAAGAAGCCAGATTCCTCCTCTCCTAAAAAGTGTCAGAATTGCATGTCACTCAGCAAATAAATGACATACAGGGAGTCAAAAAGGCTTAGCTCCCCCTCAGTAGCATGGACTGCTATTGTGTGATGATGAAGCAACACATGCCACATTTCTGAATTAAGCATTCTATTCTACATTTATAGGCTAAGTCTTTAGAATTGTATGCATCCACCACAAGCCTGGGTATCAGCTTGAAGGTAATATATGAAGGACTACAGCATATTAAAGTAGAATTTGAAATGAACTTCAAGAGTTTTGAGAATTGGTGCAACACATTCCCAATGGCAATAATGGGAAATAACTGTCCAATAGGACCACAAAGAATCAAACTTCAACTAGATCTTTCAACAGTGAGCCAATGTTTCCACAGGTGAAGGGAATTCCATGACCACTCTGAATTGCAAAAGTAATACTTGCTGTTACTTGTCAGGCTGTTGAATGGAATAACTAGACCCCTTATTTCAAAGCCCTCAGGTTTTGAAGTATGGGGTCTAGTTATGAAGATGTGTCATTAGGCCAATGTCCAAGGCATTCTCAAGTTCTTCCAGAAAGGGGATAACATGTTAAGCCTAAACAATATTTCAGAAATGCTGACAAAGCAACAAGATTTTGGCTGTAAATGTAGAATACTAAATTCAGAAATAGGGCCTATTTTGCTTCACCATCACATAGTTCTGCTACTAAAGGGGGTGGTTAAAGTTCCATGGCACCCTGCACTTTGAATATTTCAGGGATAGGTCTTGGGTTGGAAGATGACATGAAGCCATATGCAAATCCTGCATGCATCTACCAAGATAAGAACTTACCCTTCACTACCAAATTTTGCATATAGTAATATAACAAAACACTACTGCATAAGTCTTTATTGGCATTAACTGGCCACTGTGCTACTGTTTACACTACTTACTATACTATTGCTTTTGTACAAGGTGTTATCCTAGGTAGTTTAATACTACCGATTGTGACAACACTTTGCTCTCAATGGAAGCAGAGGGGTCACGAGTCAGAATCAAAACCAGAGTAGGAGGCTCTTTAAGATCAGCTTTGCCAAGAACACTGACTCAGCAGCACCCCTTACTTCAACTGAAGAACCTTACTTTTACAACAACATTTGTTGCCATCTCTGCGCTCTTTCAAGCATATGAATATTGACAAAAGGCTTTGACTAAAATTGTTAGAAATAATGATTAATTTATATTTAATCCTTCTTTTATTTTTAAAGATCACAAGGAAACTTGTTAGGCAAGAAAAAATTTGATAAATTGGTTCATCATTTAAATGGCTTCTCCATTTTTTTTAAATTTGTGAATCAGCAGACCTAATTTCAGAAGCATATCAAATTTCAAGTTTTTATTTAACCTGTTAACTGGGTATGGCAAGTATACTCATCGTGGCCATTCTCCCATCTGGTGTGAATGACAAGTATGCTCATCTTGGGATTTGAAGATATGGGACTGTCATTCAATGAAACATTCATGAAAGATAATTCCCTTTGAATAAAATTTAAAAAGGGTTAAATGAAGCTCCATTGCATACATGAGCTGTTGCAGAAAAAAATTACCCAACCAGCCTGCCACTGCTGCATGGAAACACACCAGTTGAAAAGTTAAATCAGAAGCATTTATACCCCTTGGTGTTTGAAGGACTATGATATCTAGTGTTATTTGCATGAGACCAACATGCTTTTACTCAACTTTTGATATCCATGCAAAAGCCTGAAAAATGTCAAGACACAAAATAAAAAAACTGCTGATCAAAGCCTAGGAAGGCTGAACATTAGCATAACTTGAAAGCTGAAGTCATTCCCACCCATGATGTAGGTCTTAATAGACAATTTATAGACTAGGCAGATAATGGGATTAGTACCATAACAATTTTAGTTTATGCTTACCACCTATGTGATACCTGTGATATGCAACAATGATCGGTTAGTGAATTCTAATGAATCCTAGGGCCTTTAGTGCAAGTTCCATAGACCTGCAATAACTTCTTTCAAAGTAATTATAGCCTTGATTTCTTGCAATCACCGTAGAAGTAACACAATTGTAAAAGGTGAGTTATAGTAAAAATTAACAAATTACTAAGCCCTAAGCCTAGGTCTAGGG